AACACCGTCACAACCCCAAGCGAGTTCTCAGCCTCAGTCATCTCATGCTACAACAGCTCCTCGAAAGCATATTGCGGTGAAGCCAAAGCCACTATCACAACCATAGGCCAGTCCCAGCCTCAGTCATCTCAGGCTATAACAACTCCTCCAAAGCCTATTGTTGTAGGACCATATATGGAAAAGCCCAAGAATTATGAATAATGTGAAGGTCGAACCTGCTCGACCTCCAAAGACCATATAATTGGATTGACATATTTGCTAAAAATGGTTTTTTTACGTGAATTTATGTCAATTATCAGCTGGTTTTTTGTATGAGACATGTAGCTTTGTTTGTTCGGAACTTGGCAGACAACTTTTGGACAACTTTTGGTCTAAGCCTAATCAAGTTTCTATTTTTTTAGGTGAATTTATGTCATTTTCGCTAAGCTAATGCAGGCATTTGTTGAACAGAAGCTTTTGTTCTCGATCATTAATCAGTATGTTGAGTATCAGATAGTGCTTGAGTTGCTACTTGCCTTTAGTACACTGAAAGTGCAGACATTTTGTTGAACAGAATATTCATCATCAATCGTTATCAGTACGCGCAGTATCAAAGAGTGCTCGAGTTGCTATTTGTCTGCTATAGCCTGATTTTTGTGTTTCTGCTCAACTTGGGCTTGTACGAGCAGTTGTATAGAACAACATGTAAACGAGAGTTATCTAGACAGAATTTAGATACATGTCAGGGTGTGGGAATCGGAATGCGATGCACCAATTTGTTAGAACAACATGTAAACGATAGTTTTCTATGTTTGGGAAAGCCTAGTTTAGGTGTATAAATGTATACTCATTATGTTTAAGAATACGTTAGCACCAACTTTGGCCAATGACAATGTTATTAAATTGCATGAGTGCATGGTTGGTTGATCAGATTGCCTATTTTGGCCATCCAAGATCGAAGTTCAGATTGCGAACAAACTAATCGAACATAACAATCGAAAAATAGGGTAATCTTGAACATTGTTATATGATCAACAGGGACATAATCCATGATAACATTAGATTTCATTCCCATCTCAATTACCCACAACTAGTCTTACAAACTTACAAACTTAGAAACAAGGTACTATGGAAGACTTAGAAAATTCCCACACGAAGAAATCGCAGCAACCCGGACCATCAAACTTAGCACATCCATGAAACCTTCTTCCTGCGTTTTTCCTTGTCTTTGCTGTAAGAATTGGTGATTGAAGACCACAATAGCATGTTGGCTCCGACTCGACCTCATTAGGAGTTACAACACTTGATTCAGATGTTGGCACTCTCATTCTTCTAGTCGTCATATTATAAGAACCTAATTGAATTATATTACCTGTATTTTGATTCTTTCCAGATATAAGTATATTATCAGTATCTTCAGACAACAAACTACATTAGCACAATCTTTCTCAAAATGGTTCATGCTTGGCATCATATGTCAATTGAGAAGAAACTCTAGAAAACGATAACAAAGTCGAAAATTTCATATATAATTAGGAAGAATCTGACAGACAGTATACACCACAAAAAGGGGGGAAGAACAGTATTGGTGCCAAAACTTGTGTACGGAGGCCACTTTGGTGCCAAAAGTTTCATTTGGATCACTTAAGTGCCAAAAGTTTACGCCGACGATCACTTAAGTGCCAAATCGGAGAAAAAACGATCACTTAAGTGCCAACGGCGAGAAATTCCGACCAAATTTAATACGTGGCTTTTATATTTAAATTTTAATGACACATGGCATTTCCATATGTATAATTCAATTTTTTAAATATTTTTTTCTGATTTTTTTCTTTTTTCTTTTTTCTTTTCTTTTTTCATTTCTGTCTTCTTCTTCTTCTTCTACCATGGCCGGTGGGCTGGAGGCCAACCACCGGCCATGGCCGGCCTCGCCGGGCGTCGCCTTCCTCCGGGCGAGGCCCGGCGAGGCAGCCGTGGCCTCGGCGAGGGCCGGCCGGCCTCGCCGGATCTGGCGAGGCGAGCCCTCGCCGGGGCTCGCCCTGCCCAGGCGACCTCGACCCTCGCCTGGGCAGGGCGAGCCCCGGTGAGGGCTCGCCTCGCCAGATCCGGCGAGGCCGGCCCTCGCTGAGGCCACGGCTGCCTCGCCGGGCCTCGCCTGGAGGAAGGCGACACCCGGCGAGGCCGGCCATGGCCGGTGGCCGGACGCCGGCCATCGGAAATAAGAAGAAAGAAAAGAAAAAAAAAGAAAAGAAAGGAAAAAAGAAAGAAAAGGAAAAAAAAGAAAAGAAATGCCACATCACCCTCCGGCGAGCCACATCAGCCTCCGGCGAGCCACATCAGCCTCCAGCGAGCCACATCACCCTCCGGCGAGCCACATCAGCCTCCAGCGAGCCACATCAGCTTGAGAAATTAATAAAAAAATGCCACGTCGGATTTCCGGCGAAGTGGCACTTAAGTGATCGTTTTTCACAACTTTTAGCACTTAAGTGATCCGATTGAAACTTTTGGCACCAAAGTGGCCTCCGTACACAAGTTTTGGCACCAATGCTGTTCTTACCCCCCACAAAAAGTATATCAAAATTCCTCAATCTTTCGACACACAAAATTTCCACCATATGGTAAAGCAACTCACTAATAAGGACCAGAAGAGAAACATTTGAAGCTAATATCACGAGTCAAGGCTCAGCTCTACATAAACCAATCAAAAACTCGAGACAAGAACCATTTCTCATGCGGTCGTGAACTGAAATTAGAAACCCAAGCAGCTATCCTACCCTACCTCATCGCAAATCACAACGCAAATTAAGGGTCAAAGCATAGTGGACTTCTTATCTGTTTGAACTTCATGTATTGAAAACAGGAGTCAAAGTTCAATCTCAATTTCACAAAGAATCTTACTGCGAGAAAGGTGTGTACATCAGCACACTCCGAAGCTGAATTTATGTCTACTGATCCCAAGTAACCTAAACTTCTACAATCAATGGAAAATCTAACACATGTCTACTGAATCAATTATGAAGATATCGGAAGCAGCACTTTGAGTTTCCATCACTCTCAGTTGACTCATCATGCTCTTCGGTAGAGGTTTAAGCATTATAATGAGGACGGAGGATGACTACTAATAGTTGATTGTGCATCAACTTGAGAGCGCCTTCGGGCAAACAGCTATCCTACCCTACCCTACCTCATCGCAAATCGCAGCGCAAATCGAATCGCTCCAAACACGCAGGTCCTAACCAAACTGGAATAGAAACACACGCCGCTCGATACCAAAATGCTATAATGCAGAGAGCAATACCTGCGCGAGGAGGAGTCCCCGTCGCCGTCGCCGTCTCCATCGTCGAAGCCGCTCGATCCGCCGTCGAGACTTCCGCAGGACAGGTCTTCGCACGAACTCGCTATCGACAAAGAAGAGAACTCGAACTCGAACTCTACGAACTTCAGATCACGATTAAACTCCAGATGACGATAGGCGTCGAACTCCAGCTCGCGAGGAGACCCAAATCACGAGGGAACTCGAGATCGTCGAACTTGATTTGGGGCTTAGGGTTCAAAGGGAGACCAAGTGTTAATTTCGTTTAGATGGAGAGAAAGACGACGACGACTCTGGGCTTAGGGTTCAGAGGACATCGATTTGAGAAGAAGAAGAAGAAGAGATGTTGTTCCGGCAGAGGTTGAATCGGAGCATACGGTTCAGAGAGACGTTCAGAAGGAAGAAGGAAGGAGACGACGCAGGGGAAAGGAAAGAGAGACGTTCAAGAAGAAAGGGGGACGTCCAAAAACGACGTCGTTTTGCATACGTTGACATTTTTGCTTAAACCATTTTCCACGTAGGAGAGAGAAATGATTAATAAGCGCCACGTCAGCGTTTTCCGTTAACAAATTTAACGGTGTTAACTTTAGGACTCAAATGCACTTTTGTTACAAGTTTTAGGACTCGATTGAATTTTTTGCAAATTTTAGGATTCAAACGCATTTTTGTGACAAGTTTTAGGACTTATAGTGCACTTGTCCAATTAAAATTTCTTACCTGGATATGTACGGTTCAATAAGCCCCAAAATTATATACGGTGCAACATTTATTAAAAACTGATGGCTGCTCAGTACCTCAGGAGTTTGACCAGCCAACCATATCCCGCCACGTGTCGGTGTCTAGATGGTCGGAGCTGTCCGTAACCTGAAAACCATAAATTTGATCCGTCCCGCTGGCATACCGAAATTATTATAGGGTCAGATTTTGCGCTCGTTTCTGGAAAACTCATCGTACGACAAAATGACGTAGCCTCACGCCACTGCATCCATCTCCAAAATGTTAAATAAAGACCCCCTCGCCCCTTTTCTGACATGGACGGGAAAGTCCCGCAACGCACGACCAATCATCGCCTTCCACGTCATCCCCCATGAACCGGGTCTTAATATTTTTTTTTGGGGAAAATTTCAAACCAGTACCCAAAGTGAGGTCATTTTCTAAAAAAAGAGTTCAAAGAGGACATAATATCAAATAAAGGCTTAAAGTGTCAAATCAGTCTCAAATAGGGACTCGAAATGCTCAATTAATCTCAAATGAGGGCCTGAGTTCGCCGGTCAAATGCTCACCGACCGGTGAACAGAGGTCCTTACTTGAGACTAATTGGGCACTTCGGATCCCTATTTAAAATTAATTTGGCATTTTAGGCCCTTATTTGATATTATGTCCACTTTAGACCTTTTTTTGATAAAATGACCCACTTTGAGGCTGTGTTCGTTTGAGGAAAAATATTTTTCCGGAAAATATTTTTCACGTTTTCCGGTGTTCGGGGGCGGAAAATGTTTTCCGTGGGAAAACATTTTCCTTCCCCACCCCCAAATCCTTCATTGTTTTGAGGAAAATGATTTCCTCTTTTCACAAAGAGAAAATCATTTTCCCCCAAATTGAAGGCAAAATTGCCCATGGGAGGGAAAATATTTTCCGTGGGAGAGGAAGTTGATTGCCGGTCACCACCGTTGGCCGCCGGTCGCTGGCCGCCCGCCGGTCATTCAATATTCAATGACTAGTTGTTTTATTATCCATTCTTGTGCGACCAGAGTGGGGACAGGATTGTTGTAAAGGTGAGGATCTCTAACTCATCGGCCGCTCGCTTATACTTTGATCACTTCATTTTCAGGCTGCCAAACAACGAGGTCTGTTTATCAACTACATCTTGCTATATCATACTAGATCTTGTCTTGGCGCTGAGATATTTTTGTTACATGTTCTACAGCCTTTTTTGGAAGCAAAGGCTACGGTTGTTTGGCTAGACAAGAACTATCGTCCTATCCGTATACCACCAGAAATTAGATCTAAGTTTGTCCAATTCGTTCGTCATGAGGAGGCCAACTGATGTGCAGAAGAAGTGGCGATAGAGTACTTGGTTAAAGACCCCTCCCTTTTGCTGAGACCCCTCGTTTGAGCTCAAAATATGAAGACAGACAGGGAAAGGGAAAGAAAAATGCTACGAAAATTACTTTCAGGATAGACATCCACGAGGAAGAATTTTTGCACATGTCAATTCAGCTCTTTCCTTCCACACGAGCAGCTCATAGAGTTCAATTATGTTCGGAGCATACGGTGTAGTCCTTCAATCTAAACTCCTGTAGTTGGGCATCCGTGAGTCATCAACAACTGTTAGCATAAATCTGGCACTCTTCCTCGAAGAAAATCGTGACAACCTACGAACATCCAAGTGAATTATTTCTGTAATATCTGTGGTTTCTCTAACAACCATACTGAACTGCACTTTCCGTCGTTGATCAAAGTCACAGCACTTGCATACATTCAGTTCATCAGCAACATAATCACATAGTAAATTTCTTTCACTTAGAACCTTCAGGCTTCTATCGCTAATGTGCCTCAAACGCATATGCCACAATTCAGACTCTCGAACAGATGCATTCAACGTCTCCGCAGCGAATTCCGTCAATGTCTCACCTTGAAGCTCATACAGACCACTTTGCTTGATTCCTTTTATTATCACCAAGGCACCTCGAACAATTTTCAGAACTCCACATTCTGAAGAATATCGATACCCAGCTGAATTTAGGGCACTCAAGGAAATCAGATTTTTCTTCAACTCTGGAACATGTCTTACTCCAGTCAATGTCCACACAATACCATCATGCATTTTGATTCTAACATCACCAATACTAATAACATCGCACTTTGCATTGTTCCCCAACTGTACTTTACTACTATCCGTGCACTGATAAGTAGTAAACCAGTTCCTGTTTGGTGTAGTGTGAAAAGATCAACCATAATCCATAATCCATCCATCAAACGATGAATCATCAGTGACAGACAAGACATAATCAGAATCATCCAAATTACTGTCTGCTATAGCAGCAACATCATCCGCAGACGCAACTCTAATTTCCTTACTCTTGTCATTTTTCAGCTTAAAGCAATCCCTTCTAAGATTCCCCATCTTACCACAACTCCAAGAGACAACACCACCAGTCCTAAACTCACTATGTCTATTTGAGTTCATACTCCTCCTACTAACACGTGTACCGGTTCTTCCTCTATTTTCATCTACTAAAGCAGCAGATACATATTCACCATATTCTCTTCTACAGATGTCTTCACTCAGAATTAAATCTCGAACACCATTAAACGTCAAACTTGTCGACCCAAAGGAATTACTAACAGCAGTAACAGTAGTATTCCAACTATTATGCAATGAGGATAATAGAATCAAATCACGTACCTCATCTTCAAAGTCAATATCAACTTAACTCAATTGACTAACGATCACATTGAATTCATTAACATGATCAATAACTAACGCACATTTGCTCATCTTCAAATTAAACAGACGTCGTATCAAGTAGACTTTGTTGATTGCAGAGGGCTTCTCGTACATGTCCGACGGGGCTTTCATCAAACCCGTAGTGGTTTTCTCATTCGCGATGTTAAACGCGACGTTACGAACCAACGTCAGCTGAATAACACCCAAAGCTTGTCTATCCAACAATTCCCAATCAGCTTGCTTTATCGTCTCTGGCTTCTCCCCAGACAGGGGCAAGTGCAATTTCATCTGATATAGATAATCCTCAATCTGCATCTTCCAGAAACCAAAGTCATTCCCATCAAATCTGTCGATTTTCACTTTTCCTTCTTCTGCCGCCATCGATTCGCTTCAACTCAGCCAAACTTAGCTCTCATACTAATTGTTGCGGAAGCCAAGCGATCGAACAATAAATTTGACAGAACAAGAAAATAAATCAGATACCAGATTTACGTGGTTTGGTCATAGTGACCTAAGTCCACGGGTAGAGCAGCACGGAATTCCACTATAGATCAAGAGATACAACAGAGATTACAACCACACTCGAGTCACTCAAGCACTTTAAGTGTTTCTCAAGCCCCAATTACACCCAATAACTCACGCAGTATTTAGCCCCGCAATTCCTCACGAAATAATTTCTCAATCTCACGAAGAAATTATACACAAATCTTACCACAAGATTTAATCGCTACAAACACTTGAACTCTTGGTATAATTCCATGGAGAAAATCCCACACCAAGCGCTTAACGAAACAGAGCTTCAAGACTCACATCAACGGCGACACTTCAAGACTTCTTTGTAACCAACGAAACAACCCACTGCCCACGGAGATAATCCAGAAGCACTCGACGAAACAGCGCTTCAATATTTCTCCCTCTCTGTTGACAGTCGCGGAATAACAAGCACTCAAGAATGTGGCACTTCGAGAATACCCCAAAGGTCTGCACCAATCTTGCGACTATCTTGACCAAAGGAGAAAACATATAATATATATACCCATGGAAGCCAACTTCAACACAGAATAGGAAAACCCACGTGACATGCTTAGCCCAACTTTCCTTTTCTGTTTTCTTTTCTTTGGCCGACTTAAAGAAAAAAAAATATCCGAATATTTTCTTTCTTCTTATTGTGAACCATGCTGACCAAGTCAAAGTCCAACATAAAGTCCATGTGGACTTTTCAGTTTGAGAACACAGAACTCCAATTCTTATACGGAATGTGCTTCAACAAACTTGGATCTATCCAAGGCCAATTACCAATTATTAATCGTGGCTTCAAAATAAAGAATTCAAGGATTGTTCATCATTCTTTATTTGGATCGGGTTTCGTACGATGGGGTCAAACTCGAGACATATTTTAACAATCTCCACCTTAGCTTGACGTTTGTGCTAAGTCACAATCGCTTCAATAGAATCCGAATTTCGCTACTACTCTTCCATAGCCCTCGATGGACTCAACAGCCATAGACATCTTTCAAGTCCAAGCCTCGTTTGAACTTCGCCAGAGCCGTGGATCTCATCAGAATACCAACTCCACATGCACCTTTAACTGCTCCACAAGGATTTTCCGATACAACCTCCTTAACTGCAGATAAAACAAAACCATCGTTGCATCCATATCTGTCAGGAGATCGAATACGCACCTTGTCAATATCAACAGTTACAGCAACTATTGGCTCAATAGGCTCCATCTCGCTATAAGCACCATATGTGTTGTGTCGATTACTTCATTAGTACTCGTTACCTCAGTAGTTTCTGGTTGCAACTCCACCTTAAGCTGAACACCGTTCAGATCCGTATGAACATTGCCACAAACATTCCTTGCCAGAAGTACTGGAGACTTGTCAAACATAACTTCTCTGCTGATAACATGTGAATTTAATTCTGGACACCACAACTTATAGCCCCGCTCACCTTGTGCATAACCTAGGAACATGCACTTTCTTGCCCTTCCATCAAGCTTACCATCACTTGCTCGAACATAACATGGACAATATTCTAATAACAAAATAATCAGTAACGTTACTTGACCACACTTCTTCGGGAGTCCGACATCCAATCGCAGTCGATGAGGATCTATTCTTCAGGTAGCTCGTCGTACTAAGCGCATCCACCAGGAATCTCTTAGCCACAACAGCACTAGAGAGCATTTTATGGGCTGTCTTTAATAACGTTTTGCTCATCAACTCTGCAACCTGTTGTGGTTCATTGGCACTAGTGCGGTGTTTCACTATGCCTTCCGTCATGCAGAATTCGTTTAACAGCTTCGAGCAAAACTCCATACTATTGTCAGTCCGCACCTACTTGATCGTTTTACCAATCTCCTTTTCGATCAAAGCTCTCAACTGCCTGATCCTGACAATAGCATCAAACTTGTGCCTAAGCACAAACACCCAAGTCTTCATCGAGTAGTCATCAACAACTGTTAGCATAAATCTGGCACTTTTTCTCGAAGGAAATCGTGACAACCTGCGAACATCCAAGTGAATTAATTCTACAATATCCGTGGTTTCTCTAACAACCATACCGAATTGCACTTTCTGTCATTGATCTAAGTCACAGCACCTGCACACATTCAGTTCATTAGCAACATAATCACATAGCAAATTTCTTTCACTTAGAACCTTTAGGCTTCTATCGCTAATGTGCCTCAAACGCATATGCCACAATTCATACTCTCAAATAAATACATCCAATGTCTCCGCAGTGAATTCCGTCACTGTCTCACCTTGAAGCTTATACATGCCACTATGCTTGATTCCTTTCATTATTACTAAGGCACCTCGAACAATTTTCAGAACTCCACATTCTGAAGAATACCGATACCCAGCTAAATCTAGGGCACTCAAGGAAATTAGATTTTTCTTCAACTCTGGAACTTGCCTTACTCCAGTCAATGTCCACACAATGCCATCATGCATTCTGATTCTAACATCACCAATACCAATAACATTCCATTTCGCGTTGTTCCCCAAGTGTACTTTACTACTATCCATGCACTAATAAGTAGTAAACCAATTCTTGTTTGGTGTAGCGTGAAAAGAACAATCAGAATCCATAATCCATCCATCAAACGATGAATTATCAGTGACAGACAAGACATAATCAGCATCATCCAAATTACTATCTGCTATAGCAGCAACATCATCCGCAGACTCAATTCTAATTCCCTCACCCTTGTCGTTTTTCAGCTTAAAGCAATCTCTTCTAAGATGTCGTCTCTTGCCACAACTCCAACAGACAACACCACTAGTCCTAGACTTACTAAGTCTATTTGAGTTCATACTCCTCCCGCTAATACGTGTACCAGTTCTTTCTCTATTTTCACCTACTAAAGCAGCAGATACATGTTCACCAGATTTTCTTCTATGGATGTCTTCATTCATAATTAAATATCAAACGTCAAACTTGTCGATCCAGAGGAATTACTAACAGCAGTAACAGTAGTATTCCAACTATCAGACAATGAGGATAATAGAATCAAAGCACGTACCTTATCTTCAAAGTCAATATCAACTGAACTCAATTGACTAACGATCACATTGAATTCATTAACATGATCAGCAACTGACACACCTTTCGCTCATCTTCAAATTAAACAGACGTTGCATCAAGTCGACTTTGTTGATTGCAGAGAGCTTCTCGTATATGTCCGACAGGGTTTTCATCAAACCCGCAGTGGTTTTCTCATTCACGATGTTAAACGCGACATTACGAGCCAACGTCAGCCGAATAATACCCAAAGCTCATCTATCCATCAATTCTCAATCAGCTT